TTACAATTACTACTTTTGTAATAAATAATTATTACATTATTACAAATTGCATTTTGAATTACGGCACCAATCACTACGAAAAACCACATGAGAAACATTTCATTTATAACAGTTAAATTTTATGATCAGGTTTTGAGGAACCAGATGAAAACATGCGAATAACAACTATTTCAAAACTTATTACTTCACTTCCTGAAAGGAATTATGAAACCTTAAATGCCTTTATATCCCATTTACACAGGTAGCTATGTTTTCATTTATAAATCTTTTTTTTTCAAACTTGATTTTTTGACTAAATATTTATATATATCTTTTCAGTCTTATAGCATCAACAGATGCAGATGATGACTATATTACGACGCTTGCACAAATTTATGGATATATTCTATTATACCCGGATCCGCCAAAGAGTGAGAAGGACGAGGAAAATGTGGAAATAGTATATCTTAACGATAGGCATCCATATCGTCTAGTCAAAGATTTAATAATTCATCATGATAAAATTTTTAAATCTCAAAATACCACTTCAAATATTATTGCTGAAGTTATGCGACGTTCTGAAAGCCGTGAATCAATTTATTCAGCCAGATCAAGTCGTTCTAATCGTTCTAATACCAGAGATAGTAGTTTCAGAGACAGTGTCACAACAAATTCTATTACAAACTCAATGATGATTGTTGAAGAAGAAGATAAAGAAAGTGAAATAAATGAAGAGTATGAAATTCCAGTTGATGATAGAATATCTGAAGTTGTCGATGTGACAAGAAGCAGAGGTGATTCTTTGAACTATAGTGCAGAACATTCAGCAATATTACGTGACAAATTATCTAGGCTTAGTTCATCAGAAAGCATTGAATTTTCAAGACCATTTACACCACAAAGCCCAATATTTCGGCCTATAGGACCCCGTCCAAACCCATCAAAAGAAGATAATAACAGTGGGACAAGTTCACCAAAAGAAGGTTACAATGTTGCTAACAGCCTGAACCGTCGACGAGGAATAAGAAGATATAGCCGTATTGCATCACCTTCAGGTAAATCACGAGATCAAAGTAGTAGTTCTGAAAGAGAACCAATTAAACCCCAACCAATTGACGATGATGAGAATGGATCGGATTCAAGTTCCAACTTATCATCACCTGAATCACCAGCTCTTCGGTTTAATACAAGATCACATTCTCGTCCTAATTCAGAGATATTTGCTTTACAAAAACAGGGATTACTTGTAGAAGATGATATGGAATATGTTCCTATTTCACCAACTCACAAGCCTAAAGCTCATTATTATAATGATTAGGCATTAAATTAAGATTAATTAAGATTATTTTCTGATTGACCTATTATTTAATTAATAAGATAAATGACATTTTACACTTTTTAGTTTTCGTATATATAGATATTTTTATTTAATAAACTTATGAAGTTTTAACATAATATATATATTATTATCATATTTGTAACATTATTTATAACATATTATATCTATAATATTCGATATCTTATCTCAAAACAGCATCAAGACAATATTAATTATAGTTAATTTATTAATTAGAACTTAGTCATATTTAGCATAAAGGGTAGGCATTAAACGATAATATCAATGTTTCGAATTTGTAATTAACCTAAAAAAAAAAAAAAAAAAACTGTATAAATCTAATAGATACTAGGTCATTATTCATATGATCGAGGATGGTATCTTTGAAACTAAAAATAGTAGGTCACGATATTGCCATACAGTAATTTAAATCTTATTCTTGACGTAATTTGGAAATATGGTACGTACAAAAATTGCATCTCGCATGAAAAAAAAAAAAAAGACTTCTCATTCACTTGAGAAAAATCTCCGTATGCTAGAAGATGTATTTTGATATTCGTTGATCATTTTCATCTGAAAGAGTTTGAAACATATTGTAGTTCTAAAAAGCTAATGCATCCCTAATACATAAAATTATTTTATAATGAAACATCATCCTTAGGGATGAAAAATATTTATGCATGCATGACTCCTTTCCCCTTTTCCTATCATATATACTTATTGCAATTTTACGCTTATCATTATCATTAACGTTTATGTATAAACAGCTATATTATAACATTAAAAATAAGATGGAACAAATGAATGCGTGTTTTATCTTTTTTCTCAGTGCTGTTAATATTCATAATGATGCATATCTAACCAACAAAAAAAAAACACATGAATATAAAAAGAATATCCAAAATTCAGAAATAGTAATGTTATATATTTACACAGAACTGAGAATATATATTTAAAATTTAAAAGTATCCAAAGAAAAAATAAAAGCCCCAAAATATAATCAGCAAATTTAGAGAATTCGTTCAACTGAACCTTCACTTAGCCAATTTTTGTCTTTGTTCTACTTCTTTATGAAAGACATTTCTAACATGTTTCAGATCTTTAACATCGCCACGTTTGATCATATCCTGAACGACTATAGGTATTTCAAATTGCTCGAATTTCAATTTATTATGCTTGATCAATATCGCCATCGTTTCGTAAAGACGGTATTCACGAAGTTTATAATATAGAGCTTTAATAACCGATTCATTGATGGTTTTAAATCCAAAGAAATCACTTACATCAATTGAAGGAAAAGATGAAGTGATTTCAATATCGAATTCATCACATACTGAGCATGCATCATCAACATCAGATAATTCCCCACCAAAAATTTCTTCGTAATCACTATTTAAATTACGATTAACACTTTCTTGTAAATTTTCAACTGTTTCTTCAGATACAATCGTGGCCGAATCACCATCTGTATCATATCGTTCATCGGACTAGAAATATTTAATAAAAATTATATTAATGCACCTTAAAATACATATTATGGTTTAATTTTTTTGAATTTTAATTACCATCGGTTCGCTGTATTGCGATAATAATAATATAAAAATTGAAGATATGTAAAATTATATTATGTTTGTCTTTTTCTTTGTTTGGCTTTCTTTTTTACAAAATATGTATGAAACAGAAAGAACAGAAAGAAATATAATTTTAACCTAGTGTTATTCGAAACAAGATATTTATACTGTATACGTAATACCATTTAGTAATGATTAAAAGTTCATTTTATTGACGCAAGACTTAAATGTGTGACAGGTTACGCCGATGGTCAAATGATCCGTCTGACTGTACCCAGATGCAGATGCAGATCATATAAAATTAATAAGTTGTTCTTACGCGTGTATTCATATCTTACATTTTCACATCGAACCAGATTTTTTTTTTGTTTCTTTACTTATACGTGCTTAATACAAACTTAATATAAAAGTTATGAAAGTGTAAACCTACTAACGCTTTAAAATAAGCTATTAAAAAGCAGAAAAGCACTTTAAGTTTTAAAGTTAAAGTTTTTAAAGTTACACGTACGGTTATGGAAGACAATAATATTACGGAAAATACCCCACAGGTAAAAACAAGTTTTTGGAAAATTAATTATTAAAATAATAAACAAATTCTTGCGATTTGACATCTAAATTTTTCCGTGTCTCTGACCAATTTCTAAATAATATGATACATTTTGGCCTTTATTTTCGCGTAAAAAGTGATTGTTAATTTATTTGAAAAGCAAATTGAGTAGTAATTAGAGGTGCAAAATCGGCTCATCGGCTTCTTTTATCTGTTATTATAATTATAATTAATTTACAAGCTAGTTTACATATCTCTAGTAATTTTTACAATTTGATTTCGATTTTTCAATGATTTCATTAATAAATTAAACTTTCATATTTTCAATTATTGTTAATTCGCTTATCAATATAAATTA